TAATGATACTACTACTACTACTACTACTACTACTACTACTACTACTACTACTACTACTACTACTACTACTACTACTACTACTACTACTACTACTACTAAGAATATTGTATTTATATTGGGCTATCAAGGCTCTACAGCATACTCTATAATATATGCTATAAACTTATTGCCCAAGCAGACCCTAGAACACTCAGACATCAAGTGGGTGGTTGACGGGTGCTATGGTGTGGTTTGCTTCTTCTTTCCTATCAAACAGCTGTCGTCTTTATCTCTCCCCTCCTTCTTTTTTGTGTTTGTTACTCTCTAGTAACACCTCTAATCTTTCTTGGCACTTATATGACCTTATTGTGTTGCAAGTGCCGCAAAACACACTTACTAAAACGAACTCTCAGAAACATACTTGGTTTCCCGGGAAGCCAAAGATTGCACGCGCTCAAACACTGACAAACTGACAAGATCTTTCACTGTCTGTAGCCGGGTACCCGTCCTCACATGAGATGATAGGGTGTGAAGCGAGGAAAATTCGTATAAAGTGCCTTTCCCAACGACGCAACGTCTGCTTTCTGAAGGGACTCAAACTTGTGACCTTACGGTTGTGAGTCTGAGAGCCCATTCTATTATTTGTGAGGTGCGCTGACAAAATGAGCTACTTCTCGCTGTCCAAGAATGGAGATATAGGCCGAAAATCGACACTGCGGTCACATTTATAGATTTCTAATTGATGCCATTTTGTTCAAGTTTACTGTGTCTTTTATTCTTGCATACTTACAAATTGTACAAACTTCACCTATAAAGTTGATGTATCAATTTCCATAAGGCTAAAATCGGAAAAGTAGCTCATTTTGTCAGCGCACCTCACATTTTGATTAAGCCACCGATAGAAAGATGAGCAGCCTAGCTCTTTGTTTTGGTCACATTCAGTTACTGGTTTTTGTTGCGTTGGGTTGCGGGAGGCCTTTTAAAAAAACCACGAAAACTTCATCAAATTGTGTTGGAAATAACTTGCATTTTGTATTGATCATAGTAATTTGTGCCTGCCAACCAGATTACTGAAACAATACCAGTCATTCATGTGATATTTGCTAAAGATCGTGTGAAATGTACATTGTTTAGTTTTAATTTTACTGAGTTTTCTCCTTTATCAATTCTTGTTCACCTAAGTGTTCACAAAAGTCGGTGAAAATTGTTGACACTTTTTTTAATGGTTTTGTTTATTTTAAAAATAGTTCCCAGTTTTGAAACTGAAGACTGCTACTTCCTTATTATTAGACATTGTCGGTGATACTTGGACCCATCTAGCAGTAACTTAAGTGATGAGAAAGTTGAGTGTATTTATTCTATGGTTGGCCAGCAGTTCAGCATGTATTAAAATTAAAGCCCCAAATTTTGTATTTCTTTTATTCTTGCAGTTTCATAATCTGTGATGTCGGTTGCAAGGGCTCGAAAATATTTTTGTTTGTTGAATGTCAAGATTCATAAATGTCGGTATAGGCAAGAAGAGGTACTTTAATGCAGGTAAAGTAAAGTAAAGTTGTTCCCGCGTCCGATCCGGACATTGGGGACTGCCTTGTTAGTGAGACAACTTCCTGGGCCTTCGGCGTATTGTGGTAAGGTGGCCAGTTACTTTCCATGCCACCTTTACTTCCCCAACTAAGATGCCCTGTGCCTCCAGAAGTTAGATTGATTCTGGTTGTATGAGATAAGAGATAAGATAAGATGATCTTTATTGCCCCAGTGGGAACTTTTATTTGAATACAACTAGGTGTGAGATAAATTTGGTTTGCCCTAGTTTTTTTTAAAAGACTAACCAGCCTAAATCATGCATGTAACTGAACCATATGTGTGGTGTGCTGACAAAATGATTTACTTCTCGCAATTCACAAATGGATGGATATATTGGCCCAAAATAGACATTTGTGTCATATTTGTAGATTTTGTAGTGATGCCATATTCTTTAACTGTAACCTGTCTTTTGTTATTTTATACTTATAAATTGTAAAAGCTTCACCTGTGTGTGATGTATCTATTTCCTTAAGGTTTGAATCCGAGAAGTAA